ATGGTCTGAGAATACTTAATACTTTAATTTCACACCTATGTAAATGTTTGTATGGCGTTGCTACCTAATAAACTCGATGTCACACAAACGACATAACAGAATATGAACTGAGGATAACGTATTGAGAATAAACTTCAAACTCAAATTGTCTATTTTTAGACGGTTTATCTCTTTAAATCATCGTTTCAACTAGATCCGACCCGTCTGAATTACAGTTGCTCCTTGAATTAATGGTTGCCAGGAAATAATTAATATATTTTTTAACGACTTTAGACAACGCGATACTGATTCAGATATTAACGACACAGGTGTTACCCAGTGGTATGCGCTATCTATTTTGGAAAATTCATTACGTAAATCATCTGAAACGTGTAAACACTCTAAAACGGAAGACATCGGACAGAGTAATCAGTTATTATTGCAGATCAAAATTATTAATCTCCTGAGCCGATAAATCAGTATCCACATTCGTGCACGTAGGCCTGTGCGTCGACATTGATGAAAATTAGAAATTTAACCTTGGGTTTGAGTTCGACTTCAATCGTTGCTCTGAACATTGGATAGTACGTTGTTAGATCGTGGTTAGAATGTTGTGAGAACGTGGTTAATGTGTTGTAATAATGTGGTTAGAACGTTGTGAGAGCGTGGTTAATATGTTGTGATAACGTGGTTAGAACGTTAGTAAACTTGGTTAGAATGTTGTTAAAACGATAGTTAAGTTGTTGTGATAACGTGATTAGAACGTTAGCAAACTGGTTAGAAGTTTGTCAAAACGTGGGTAATGTGTTTTGATGACGTGGTTAGAACGTTAGTAAACTTGGTTAGAACGTTGGTTAAACGTAGATAATGTGTTGTGTTAACGTGATTAGAACGTTAGTAAACTTGGTTAGAATGCTGTGGTTAATTTAGAACGATAGCAAACTTGGTTAGAATATGTTGTTAGAACGTACGGTACTGTAGTTAATGTGTTGTGATAACGCGGTTAGAACGTTAGTAAAATTGGATAGAATGCTGTTAGAACGTGGTTAATGTTTGTGATAACGTTGTTAGAACGTTAGTAGACTTGGTTAGAATGCTGTTAGAATGTGGTCAACCTGGTTATGTGTTTGATAACGTGGTTAGAACGTTGATAGACCATGGGTGACTGTTGTGTCAACCTGATTAATATGTTGTGATAACGTGGTTAGAAGATTGTGTGAAAGTGATTAGAATAGAAATTTATTTTATGACCATTTTAGGTTCTGGAATGCTTACTTTGAAGAATTCTGAATCGAACAAGCTTCGTCGATAATGGACGTATGCTTAAAATACGACTTCGTACCGCCCATGGGCCACACAGCCCTGTTGAAGTCACCTTTCTACCACAACATAAATATTAACATAATCATGCACTTACCATATTATAATCGCTTATTCATAAACTTAAGTATTTTCTCTTACAGAATCAATTGAAATCTAGATTGGTGTCGTTTTTATGAGACAACTACGCGTGAATGCACGTTATTACGTGTCAATATACCTAATGACTTGTGACCTAATAATCCGTATACGCACGTTTGCCATTAAAAATCAGAAGGTTACGGTAATATCAGTAGCTAGGCTCGAATTACACAAGTATTATTATTAGATGTATACGGTACAATATAATTACATTCGGCTTGCTAATAATATCTCCATACTTCTATTTACTTCCTGTGCACGATGTCTAGGCCTGTAGTCTCGACTACTCAGTTTTCTTTTTTCTAACGCGTGGCCATGGAAAAGAAATCAAACATTGCGAATGTTAATGGCCGAGTAAAGTACGCTCACCTTTTATTTTCGGGGAGTGTTGGTCTTGTGGATATATCCATGGAGTAACATTGATTTAATAATAATAATAATACTGACGATTTCGATTTTGCACGGGAATGAGTTTCAGGAGAGAATACGTCGTCACTATAAATGATTAAGCCCCGTGGCCGTGTAAATAAGCGAATCATTGTCTACTGCGCGGCGCATTTAGCAGCCAAAATTCGTGGAATTCATACTTATTAGGTTATATACATATTAACTGTTATCAAAGTAATTTATAATTTTCGAAGTTTTAATCCGAATGAAGGCAACTGATATATATTTGCACATGCATTGAACAGCGCTAGTCCTAGACGACAGGATATATA